CGATAAGCGACGCCGACGCAACAACGCGTTTGGTCCTGCAATACTTTTCATTTTCCAGGCCCTCATACACAACTGGGCGAGCAGAAGAATTACCGATCCCTTCATGAACTGCTTCAGAGCTAGCTGGATGATGCATCAGGCCTTCCTATCCGAAAGAAAGTAGGGGAACGATCATGCCCAGTACCATGCTAAACATCAGATGGCGCAGCTCCGACACACCTCGGGCATATCGGACAAACAAGTGAACGAACTGCAAAGGGATACTGGGCCGAATCGACCTACTTCGCCAAAACAGTGCTACCTGCTGCTGCGCCATGCCCGTCAGTACTGCTTAAAGTGTCAGCGTGGCGTGGATTAGGTAAACAGTAGGAATCCAGTGGAAGGTGAAAAACTCCCCTCTCGTCACCAAATTATTTCTACATTCTGTCGTTCTAACACTGTCCTAAGTCACCCGCTGTGACAGATGTCAAATTCCGCCAATCCTCTGCTCGAGAATTCCCAAAAAATATCTGCAAAAATGTGATGAGAAGAGAGCTTTTCAATTCTATTACTTACTAGTCGAAACCTTATAAATATCATGAAAATGTTATCAAACTGGGCATATCAGGATGAAGGCGAGATTTCTGTGTAACTTAGTATGTTCTGCTGCAAAGCTTCAACACTTTTCACATGAGCTGAGATCCCGCACGCACGGCGTACGGAGATTTTACACGTGAAAAAGTCAGAAGTAATGAATACCGGGCAGTAATCATTAGCAGAGAAGAGAGAGACTGGACCAAAAAACTGAGCCGCCAGAGCTGGCTCTCTCTTCCCTGTCCCTTTCCATAAAATCGGTACAGATGTTGTGTGTAAAAACGATGAAGCTGCCACAGCGCACGCGAAATGTGTTGACAAAATTTTAAAAATAGCACGTGGAAACATACTTCTCGCACTCCACCACGACGATGTAGTAGGCTGGCGGTGACGTGTTGCGCATCATACTGAATCTGAAACACCATCAGCATTATCACTGGTGCTCCCCCTGACGAAATGCAATCTCTGGCAAACCCTCCTCTCCCCCTCCTCCGACCCCGGCTTCGACTTTTCCACCTCCTTCGAAACGCACGGATTTCCTCTCTCCAGTAAGCTGACAAAAGCCCGAAGAGTTGTTTCAAAAAATTTATCCAGTTTCTGGAACGCTGTAAAGTCTGGACAAAGCAAACCCCCTCAGTCAAATCAGTAATAATAAATGATAAATAAATAGCAACGCGCACCAGAGTAGCCGGTGCGATCAAGTGTTTTGTGCAATTCAGCCCATCGAACGATTACCTATTAATGATTTTCACTGCTTATGCAAAAATAGTTCAAACATTGGAAAACAGTTAAAAATTTCACGCACGAGCGCATGAAAGCCCAATTCGAAACCCTGAAGGGTGAATATCTCTCCGTGATTCCCGAGTTAATAGTCTATCCGCCAAAATTTTCACGAGGCTGTAGGTGGTACCCGAGAGCGCGAGAACGCTGGATTTGAATGGTCAAGGTTGACCGTGGATAGGGGATCATCACCCTAAAATTTCAGCCTCCTAGACTCCGTGGTTCCCGAGATATTAAGTTACCCGTAAAAAAATTTCACGGGGCCGTACGTGTTACCCGCGGGTATGGGAAGGCTGAATTTGAATGGGCAAGGTTGAGTGTGGGCAAGGGGTCACTGCCCAAAAATTTCAGCCTCCTAGACTCCGTGGTTCTCGAGATATTAACTCACCCGTGAAAAACTTTCACGGGGCCGTACGCGTTACCCGCGGGTACGGGGAAGCTGGATTTAAATTTGCGGGATCACAGGTGGGTGGGGAACGTTATCCTAAATTTTCAGCTTCCTAGCTTTTGT